TATAGCTCGAGTTATAACTAGCTCCGAGCGACGTAGTCGGCTCGTCGTTACTTAGTCTAGTAATCGTACGTAGACGACGATAATCGAGACGATCGTAGTAGACGAAAGAGTATTAGATCTATTAATTATCTTCGCTAGTAAGGTCTACTAGAAGTAGTAGTTCTAAGAGCTTTAGAACGACGAGTATACTAACTAAAAGCTCGTCGTTAGCGAGACGAAATAGACGAACGATAAGATAAGCTTATAGTAGCTCTAAGAGGTCTTCGAGTCGTCTACTAGGCGCTCGAGGCGAGGTAAATACCGATTACTTATTCTAGATAGCTACTATAGCTATAATACGTCCGAATTTAATAACTATTATACGAAGTACGATATTATCGCGCTTTTTATACCGTCGTATACTTCCTACTTACTCTAGTCGCTCGACGTAGCGTACTTCTCGCCGCTTAAGCGAGCGTACGAAAGGCGGGTTAAGGAGCTAATACGCCTAAACTAATACTATATCGATAAGAATGACTTCCTACGCCTATATATAGCGGCTCGCTTCGAAGCGTTTACGGAGTATAACGCGAGAGTAGACTTTCGAGTAGCCGACTTAGTACCGTACGATCTAAGCGTTATACTCGATTAATTAAGGCTAGTATTTCGTACCCCTACGCCGCCTTTCTTACTTCCGTCGAGTTAGGAGCTCGAGTAGGGCTAGGATTCGGAGACGCCGCGGACGGTTAAGTAGGTTTAGAAGTACGCTCGTACGCTTAGGAAATCGCTTAAGCGGAAGACTATTCTAACTCCTAGTCTAACTAACCTAGTCGTCGTATATAGGCTGCGCAACGGGTTACTAAGAAATGTAATTTACCGAAAGTCTAAAATTACACTTTACGCGAAAATATAAAACTTTAAATTTAACGCGTATTTTACGCGATTTTCGCGTTTTTTTTTTAAATAATATTAAATATATAGAATATATATTCTTATTTAGTATACTTAATATATTAAATAAGTATATATTTACTAATAACCCGATTAATAACCCGATCGGGTCGGGTTAATTTTACTATAGATATTTTCTTATCGATAAATTTAACGTGCTTACTAAGATTATTACGTCCTAAACTTAAAATCCACTTTACGCGAAGTACTATATCTTAGTAATTAACGCGTTATTTCGCGTTATTAATTAATAAATAGATAGTTTTTAGAGTTAAATATTATAATTTAGAAGTATAAAAAATTATATTAAATAGTTAATAAGTTATACTAAAAAATATAAATTTAAATTTTTAAGAGGGTAAACTAGTTAATCGGGTTATTTAACCCGATTACGGAAAATACTAATCCGTTGCGCAGCCTAGTCGTATAGATAGCTAAGGCTACTAAGTACGCTATTTACGCGTTCTAGCTAGCGTAGGAGCGAATTACGGAGCTAGAGGAGCTTATCTAAGTAAGGAAGAAGAGGAAGACGACTAGTAGGAAGTATATTAAGAACGGTAAGCTACTTAGTGCGAGCGATATACGTTAAGAGTACGTAGACGAGTCCGACGAGGAAGACGAGGATACTATTGTTAGGGAATATCTCGGGGGAGCGAATGGCTAGAGCGAACGGAAATGCGAGCGAATGCTAAGGATGTAGTTCGATGCTAAGAGGGTCGATTTTTAGTGTATTTTCACCTATAATTCCATCTCTTGCCATAAATAGCTATAAAATTATATTAATTACATCGAATTACTTACCGCTTACGCCGCCGCGTTATAAATCGATTTATATAGCCTTTCTTTAGTAATTTAATAACTCCTCCTCTTTTACGTACTAAAATAACTAATATTATATAATGGACCGCGCTAATTAGGTACGTTAAGTACTATAAACTTATTATCGAGCGCTACGTTAATGCGTAACTACCTTACTAGCGCTAGGAACCTATTATAGGAGAAGTATTCGATAATCGTAAGGATACGAAACTACGCTTATAGGTTTAGGCCCTTATTATAGGGTTTAATATCGTTTATAAAGGAGGAGGATCCTCTAAGGTTCCTAGAGGTCTTTATCGATATATTTATTACGGTAAGGAGACGAGGAATAGTCGTAGGCTCGAGGATCGCGTAACTCGTAACTCTAAGGATATAATTACCTTATAGCGTAAGCGTAAGGGTACTAAAGTTCGTTAAACCGACTACGATTAGCGCGTTAACCTAGTATTTATCCTAATTAATAAAAAGGATGAATCTTAAGGACGTTAGTAGACCTTAATAAAGGTCTACCTTACTTACTAGGGTTACGAGCTCTCTATTACCCTATTTACCGCGTATCTAAATTACCGTAAGAGGGTTACGAAGTAGAAGGAGTTAATTACGACGGTAATAACTTATCGTAGAGCTAAAGTTACGTATTCTAACTTAAGAAGGATTATCGAGAGTAAGGATTTTATACTATATTTATTCGTTAAGGAGTATTATAATACCTTACGTAAAAACTCGGTAAATAAAGAGGATAATAAATTAATTATTAGTCTAGTTTATAAGCTCTAAGAAAATAATTAGTACTACGAATTTAGGAGTAAGGTCCTTAAGAATAATAAGGGTAAGGTCGTTAATAGGAAACTTATTTAGATATAGTTTACGTACCTAAAATTAATATTCTATACGTAAAAGTTTATTAGCGATTTTATTATTTATATTAACGGTACCTTTAATACTAATAAATTAAAGATACTTCTCCTTATCGCTATCGATTAATTAAATAGTAGTAAAACCTTCCCTATAGCTTTTTCCTAGTGTTCTAAAGAGGATTAGGCCTCGTACGCCTTTTTTTAGTAGTACCTTAAGGATTATTACTTTAACGCGCTAGGAAAACCTCCCTACGCTTCTCTACGAGTCCTTATAAGTAACTAAAACGTAGGCATTACGGTATTAGCCCGAAAGCTTTTTCCGGAGGTTAGGCATTAGTTCTATAACTAGTATACTATTTAAGCGATGGAGAAAAAGATAAGGGAGTTTAGTACGTCGACGTAAGAGATTCGAACGATTTATTAGCCGAGAGCCTAGGATTATATTATATTAGCGACGGAGGAGGTATTAGAGGATAATCGATAATAATTTAGTAACGACGTTAGTACTTAATTTATACGTTACTTACTAGAAACCTAGGTTCTAAAGGAGCACCGAGTTATCCGCCTTTTTACTATTAAAAATACTAACCTTAAATCTACGTTAAGCTAGCGAAGTAAGTCCTATTATAATAGCGTTAGGAAGCTAATAAACGGCTAGTTATTACTAGAAGAGTTAGTAAAAGGGCTTATCCTAAAGATTAATTTAGTAGTTAAAGATATTAACTAGGACGAGGTTTCCTCCTCTACTAGTTACTCACGACTTACCTAGGGGCCCTCCTTTACGTAGTTAAGGTTATAGGTATCGAATTATACGACTATATACGTAGAAAGAGAGTAGATAGTATTAAATAATATAATAAGAGGAGGAGAAGACCTTAAGATACTAGAAAATAGCTATAAGTATAAGGTTTTACTCCGCTTTAGTATCGCTTATTAGTATTAGTTAAAACCTATCTACTTAGAAGGATTACCTATTCTAAGGACCCTTATTTATCCTCGCTAGTAGCTTAATAGAGGACCTATTTACTTATTAAACTAGATACCCTTTTATCTACTAACTAATACGTAATTAATACCGCCGCCGCCGCCGATAGCTCCTATTACGATAATTTATTAGGAGACGATAAATTAACTCGTAGAGATTAGGGGGTTCCTTAATCTATAGGAAGCTTATTAATTAGCGGTAGACGCCGTAAATACTAAGCGTTAAATTACTTACTTTAAGGTCCTATAGCTATAAAGTCTCTTACGCGCTACTTAACGGCGTTATTAAATATAATAGGTACCTCTATAGGCACTAGATCCTCGCCGATAAAGTTATTTAGTAAGGCGTAATACTTACGGACCCGTAAATTAGCGCGTATTAACTACTAATAAAATTAGTAAGCGCTAACGCCGCTAGGGTCGCTCTATATAGCTATAATAGGAGCGTTATAAGGCCTTATAGGTTATTAAATAAGAGATAGAGTAGTTATTAAATCGCGCGGTAATAGAGTAATAACTATTTAATAAAGAGGAAGATACTATAGAGTTTATTAGATATACGCCTCTCTAAGATATTCCTATAAGCTCTAAGATTATTTCTATAACTCCTCCTCCATCGAAAGTTATTCCTACGAGTAGTCCTCTACTAGAAACTTTAGATTTAGTAATCCTTACCTCGGAGCGGCCTCCGCTACGGCGCGAGCCCTCGCTAGAGGGTTCTCCGCTATAGATTACGCTAAATAAGCTTCTAGCGTTAACTACGCTAGTAGTACTTAGTAGGATAAAGAGACGGCGAAACTACACTATTAAATTTAACTAGGGTCGATAGTAAGGGTTTATTCCTAAGTCCTAGGAGCGATAGTAATTTAGTAACCCTAGGGCTAGTAAATGGAGCGGAAGAACATTGATCCGGAGGTCCTGGAGTAGCGTTAACACTAAGGTTGACGCCGACGAGGCTTTATTAAACCTTAGCCTTGTCGACGAGGGTTCACGATGACAGTGTAGTTAATAAATGGATGAATAATGGTAGGATATGCAAAAGGGGTCAATTTTACAGCTAAATTAGGCCTAGTTTACATTACTTGGCATTCGCTCGCATTTCCGTTCGCTCTGGCCATTCGCTCCCCCGAGACATTCCCCTATTGTTATTCGCGTTGCGGGCGCTCAGCGGCGTTGTAGGCGGTGTAGTACGATAGGGCACAACTCCAGGACGTGTCAAGCATTAAATACAACAGCTTAATGGCGAATTGGATACGATTTAGCGTCGTTGTGGTTGATAGAGCAAGCATGAAGAGTGGTGGTGGTTGATTAGTGTTCCACTAGCTTGTGTGTTCCACTAGCTTGTGGATTACGTTATACTGTTTCTTCAACCACTCGCAGTCCCTGATATCGACCCGCATCCAACGAATCTTAACCACGGTCCTCCATCACGGAAGGATCTCCCTGAGTCCAAACGACTCTCAATGCGCAATGTTTCAGTTTCCATATCCCATTAACCTTGATAACATCCGCGGAATACTCGCCGCTGACCATGAATTTTGGTCCGTCTGGTTCCTTGCCCCTCCCAGGAGGACAATGCTGCGCCATTGAAGTCGCCGTGACAAAAGCATTGTCAGCGCCGTCCTTAGCAACCACGCGAATGTTGCTGATGCTGTGCGTGGTATCCATAGGACCAACCTTGTCGAGTACATGCGTACGGATGATGGTGAGGCTGGGTAGGACTTTCTTGTCAGCGCCGTTAATTGTGAAGGAAACGTCTTCTCCAGCCCAGGCGGAGTTGAAGAGCTCCGCGTCATGGTTATCGCACCCAACCAGGGCCCGGGACAAGGCGTCCACGATGGCTTCGCGTGGGGAAAGGGTATAGAGGGAAGACGGCTCCATCTCGGCGACTGCGTAATATTCGACGGCAGACTATAGAAATTGCGCTCTGTTGATTCCAATTTACTCGCTAATACTCTCTTCGTCTTGCTCAGGCTCGTCTGAGCCATAACGGATCTTTTAAACCAGAACTTACAAGTCACGTGACCAGGCTCGCTCGGGATTTTCACAAAATTCCGGACGCCACATGTCCCCCAACTGCCCAAGGGATTTGTAGAAAATTCCAGGCAATCTAGCACGCTTCCCTTCATCCCCACGATTCCGGGATTTCTTGTTGGTGCCTAAGAGAGAACCAATCGACAACTCCTCAACAGAGGCAGATATTTGGCAAGTTGTCTACCGAATTCCACAGGATGGACAGGCCAAGGCTGGCCCGTAGCGCCAAATGGGGGCAGGCATGTGCTCCTTGCGCAGCCGCGAAGACACGATGCATTCGCTCCGACAAGGTTCGAGGGACGAAATGCGACCGGTGCCACAGCCTCGACCGAGATTGTTCCGACCAAGTTCAGGGACCGCGGAAGAAGAGACAGCCCAAACGCTCGTACGTTCACCACCCCTTCTCCAATTTCTGTGCGCATCCATGGCTCCATCCGATGTTTTGATTCCCATAGCTCCACTATCTATCAACTCTCCATAGAGGTATTGTTCAATTGGCGCGTCTCTCAAGATGCTGCCCACATCGTTGCTCGACAACCGGCAACCTACTCTGTTCATGGGCCATCCCTCGCCGGCCCTGTTGCGTCTTCTCTTGACTCTGCCTAACAAGTGATTATGTGGACAGGAGAGCAGCCGAGCTGGAAGAGAGACTTAATAGTCTGAGCGAGTTTCTAACTCCGTCGGGTGAGGGAGACAACCCGACTCCGCATAGCTTGTTAACACGCAGCGAGCCAGGCAATCTTGTGGGATCCAGGGCTCAAGACCGGCCAAGTCAGGACGACCCAGTGCTGCATGCCACAGTGCCCAAATTCGGCTCCAGTGCATCTATATCATGCACGTGCAAGTCGCCCGTCAGCAAGGCCGATCTTGTGCCCTCGGAGTCAGACGAGACTTTATTGTCCATTTACACAAATAAGCTCTCTTCACATTTCCCTTTTGTCGTGATTCCACCCGAGACGACTGCAAAACAACTATATGAAACTCGACCGTTTCTCATGAAGGTCATTAGGATGGTGGCTTCGGTGGGGTATTTGAGGTCCATGCGGGCACAAAGTCGCGCCGTCTTCAAATATATCTGCGACATGATGCTGATGAAATCTGAGCGGTCCTTAGACCTTCTCCAAGGCATCTTAATCTTCTTGGGGTTCTATCACTATATCTGTATGAGTCATGCCCATTATAATAATCTCGCCCATCTGGCAGTCAGCCTGGTGGGAGATATGGATCTGAACACATGCCCCAACTTGAAGGCTCGGGAGGAGCATCATCGCCTGGCTCTCGTGCGCGCCGAGGAACCGCGACCGAGAACGAATGAAGAAAGGAGAGCCCTTCTAGGCGTCTGGTACATGACTTCAAAGTAAGTCGGCCACCGCATTTCATTGGACATCTCGTTAACTTCCTTCGCCCCTTCAGCGCCGCGCTGGTCGTCAAGCAATTGGGACCCGCGAGATATACAAGGTACCTAGACCAATGTCTGCAGGAACTTGAGAGTGCTGCTGAATACGAGACCGATCAGCTCACCGTACAGCTGGTTCGTATTCAACATCTCACTGAGAAAATCTTCGATTTCCACACTGGGGATCAGCTCGTCAATGAACTGCCAGGCATTCCGAAAGCCGCGGCCGGGGAATATCTAGACGCATTCCAGGCAGAGCTGGACAGGCTTCGGAACGAGCTACCTCTTCATCTCAAAACAAACCGTGAGACCATCCTCTGCGTCGAGTACGAGTTCCAGGCGCATCACTAATCTAAGATGAGGGTTATAGCACTTCTATCTTGCCATTATAACAGTGCTTCACTGCGCCTCTTCGCGCCTCTTCTTGCCGATGCGCATCTCGTAGATGCCGTACCTCAGCCTTTTACCTCGCTCTTCCACTCGGGCTTATCCCCCCCCGACATCTTTTCACGTTTCACGGCCGCGCTCAAGACTTGGTTCAACTACTGGCTCACGGTCCCTGTATGCTCCTACTTCTACTTGCCCCAGCCTGCCTCCTCTCAGCTCATCCACGCCTCCAGGAACCTCGTCGAGTGGGTGAGACTGTGTGGCCCGACCGCGGTTAAATTCTCCAGTACTGGCACCGAGAGCCCTTCCTTGTCTCAGAAAGAAGTCACCACGCCTCTGCAGCCATTGCCATCATTCATCGGCGTCCTACCGTGCCCAGAGCTGGTCGCCCCCAAGCCTTCCGCGTCAGCCTCAGACTCCAGTTGTTATGCCCAAGCGATACTCGACATGCTCCGGGCTGAAGTCATTGCGCAGCCCCAGCTCCGTGTGGACGCCCTCGGTATCGCCGAGGCCATGGCTGTTCGGTTCGAGTCTGCAAAGAAAGAGATGGCCGCGGCGCAAGGCGGGGTGTGGGAGAACGACATGTGGGACGCAGCCGCGCAGCAGATGTGGATTAAGAAAGCCAGGGTCGAGAAGTGGTGCGAGAGTGCTGCCGTCGCGGCGATTGACAGGGAGAGCCAGCCGCTAGTCATCCCTCTCGACCACGGCGAGGCGACGCCTGCCTGGTGGAGTAGTGACAAGTTCGAGTCACAAGATGGCCAGGACAACTGGCAGTGGGCGAGTGACGCGTTTGATGGGATGGACTGCGATGCAGCATTCCTTGAAATCTCCGGGGACTGGTCTACGGATAAGGTCGGTGACATGTTACCGACGGGTAGGTTGAGCCCTCCAATTCGGTGAAAGGCCGAGAGATTCCCGGCATTCATAGTGTGGCTCCGGCACTGAGACCGTCGTCAAGAGATTCGGCGTCTGGGCAATTGACGCCTAAGAGTCTGGATATAGGTTTACTAATAAGCTGGCTTTCTTCCATAGTAGTGACATACAGGTAGAGGCTTGAAAACACATGTGAAGAGTAAACAACGATGACCGTGTTGTAATGTACCGGTCAGTACGCATCTGCAGTACGAGCTGCTAGTCTTAATGTGTCGGATCGGTCAACAAGTGACGCCAGGAATTGGCATATGCGGGTCAAGAGGATCTCTTGGTGATTCCATGAGCTACCAATTCTTGACCGTGAGTTGTTTGTCGCGGTCAGAGACGGAGTTTACGGAATGGTATCCATTAAAACGGCATGTCCGAAAATTCCGCGGGAATTTCGGAGGCGAGAATGGACCCCTTTCCCTGCGAGGCTATATTTCTTCATGCTCTCGACCATTTACACACTGCTCGTTGATGCAGTGGTACCCGTCAGGTCTTACCAGCTATACCAACTATTCGCTGAACGACCATGAGGTTGCTTTTGCTTGGCGTTACCGGCAACGTCGGTAGCCGGGCTTTACCAGCCCTGGTCAAACATGGCCACACTGTCGTCGCATACGTCCGCTCGCCTCAGAAGCTCACGCCCGCAGTGAGGACTTCGTTGGCCGACGTGGTTGTCGGCTCGGCCACGGACACGCAGGCAATAAAGAATGCCCTCCTCGACCACCGCTGCGAAGCTGTCTTTCACGCCGCCGGCGTGGCTCAGCAGTGGGGCCACTCCAAAACTCTTGAGTACAACACCATCTTCGCGGCCGTGGCCGCCGCCATTGTGGAAGCCCGACGTGAGCGCGGCGGCCCGGCAATTCGTGCCTGGCTGATGTCCGGCTTCCCTATGTTGGACAGCATCAATCCACCACATCTCATCGGAGACTATCTCCCCCTATTTCCCGAGCATCGTAAAAATCTAACCCTCCTCCGGGCACAAGAAGAGGAAAACATTGCCTGGTCACTATTTTGCGCCGCCCAACTGACACCCAAGCACAAGGAAGCTCTGATTCTCGCACCGAACGACTGCTCGGCCGATAACGTGATTGCCAAAGCGGAATCCCCCCCAGACTGGCGGGACACGCTCAAGTGGGTGCCGCTGATGGGGAACTATTTGAACATCATGACTCAGGCGGCTAGTTACGGGACTTCTATAGAGGATCCACTAGACTTCATTGCTGCCGACTTGGAGAAGGGACTACAGAGCGAATTTGTCAACAGACGAGTCGCTTTTAAGCAGAAGAACAAGGAATAGTGATTCCGTACCAGCGGTGAAAATCTCCTCGGGGCTATTTCAATGATATGTGGCAATTCAGGACGTATTAAGCACCCATGACACCATTACAGCAATATTTGAGCAGGGCTTTGCGTCTTTACTATTTCTACTACTCCTAATACCGAACCAGGGTGTTGCACCAGCACCTCCCTTATCTCTTGTCGCAGACTTTCGCGGGTCAAGTCGCAGGTTTTTCCGCGCAGCCATTGAAGATTTCTATTGTGTGTCTCCAGACCTGCTTCTCGACCCCTCTCGCCCGAAAGTCTGCCAACACTTTCTCATTATCCACGCTCTCGCTTTTCTCGTTGCTTAGAAAGATACCTCCTGCAGACATTGGCGACTTCTTTATTCCATCAGACAATGGAACGGTGCCATTCTTAATCGAATATCGGTCACTAGTTAAGTAGAACAGGGCCCTCGCCCCCGCCTCGTCGACCGGGGTGGCGAAAAATTTAACCACCGGGTAAACAAGCCCGTTCATTAGCAGACGTACCAGCCCAGTAGATCCCCGGGAGAGGAGAGGTGTCGCAACGGCGCCTGGAAAGGCGTGCACGAAGGATATGGCTGGGTTTCCCCGGGCGAGATGCTCAGAGGCCAGTGTAAGCATAGTGGCTGAATGAACTGCTGCTGCGAGGATAGAGTAGTTGCCCTGCATGCGAAGATCCAAGTCTTCCTCATTCATTCTGCCCTCTTGCCCGCCGGCTAGGATAGACACCACCCGCGGGCTCGCAGCCGCGTTGAGCAGCGGCAGCAGTCCATGTACAGCACGTATCCGGCTGTAGTAGCGAGTCGTCATCGATGGTTCGAGACCCTCGGCTGTCTCCTGACGGCCGCTGAAAGAGATAAAGCCAACGGACTCGAACAGAAGATCCAGCTTGGTTTCTCGAGCTTTGATAAATTCGACGACATCACTGGTGGCGCGGATGAGGGAGACATCTTTCTCAATGGTCGTATAGGTACCCTCGCCGTTGCTCTTGCGAAGCTCATCCAACAGCGCCGTGATCGAAGAGGCGCGCCGGGCTACAATATAGATGTGCGGCCGCACTGCATATCTAGCGAATTGAACCAAGGCACTCTGACCAATGCCGCTTGTGGCGCCGAGAAATAGTGCAACGAGGCCAGGTGGCAGTTCGGCAATGCGAGCATTAGATTTGCGAATAGCTTGGATGGCAACCATTTGAGGATATATAATGGTGGAATGTTTTCTTATCGCGAATAGTGTTTGTAGAAGAGTGGGAAAGGTTTGACGAAGAAGTAACTTTCTAGAGGCAGCCCAGCGCTAGACGAGCGTAGATGGGAAGAAGTGAAGCTCTAGCTTATCTAGGAGAGATATCTACCTGCTCAGATCTATTCCGAAGACGGGCATCTGGTCTACATATACACATGGAACGCAGTCTGTGCAGCGCCGAGCGAGTGCGAGCACCGACGGCTCGGGAGATATGTTACGGCTCTATCCCGGTTGGCACGACAATACCCCTGTACGAGGTTAGGTTCCCAACAACATGTGGCGTGTCATTACAAGAGCAAGCAGAAAGTGGAAGATCCGAACAAGTGAAAATCTATTGGGAGTGAGTGCACGGAAGCTCGGCCAATAGCATGCAATGCCAAGCCAAGCCACAATGTGGTCCATGGTGTACCGGTGCTATTTGAATAGACATTCAGCACTGCTCAACGCCCTCCGTGGTTTCTCTTATCTCATAGGGCGTAGTTCTAGGTCTTTCACAACTGTCGAGCTTGAACCCTGGCCTGCTAAAGGTTTCTCTGTCGGGGTTTCTAAAGCTCGTGAGGCGGGTTATGCCACCGAAACATTATGAGAGATAAGGGGCTGTCGTTATCCTGAGGGTGGCATGGACCCCGGTGACGGTGGCTTTGAGAATGGGGGGACGATATAGGGCGTTACCTCGTTCTCCTAGGTCCTGAGGGTTTAAGAATGATGAGAATGCGCCCTCTGGACCGAGACAGCCGCCTTCAGTTGTTCTTCGACAACCTTGCAGTCTTTTTCGAAATTGGTGGCCAACCCTATAAGCACACCCCCGCCCGCTGTTATGATCGGCTGCAATCGAAAATCAACATCTGCTCTACACTCTATTCGAGCGAGATCTTGTCTTGCAAATCCTACTTTTCTCCTTCATAGTGCACCTCGCAGGCCCCTCCTAGGAAACCGCTGTACTCTATTCAGCTCAAACAAGGAGACAGCAACAGAGAATTCGTTTACAATATACTGACGTATCCCTTTCGTCCGATGGCGACTCTTTTCCTCGAAATCACTGAGGGCCCAAATAGAAGACTCAAGCCCCCCCCTTCAGCGACGTATTTTCGAGGCGGGCCGTAGGTAGCAATACGCCTACACACTACGAATCATCTTATACGGCACTATTAGATACGCTATGTGCGGAACTCAGCTGTACTGTGCCGGCCTGTGTCAAAAGATCCGCTGTGCTCTACCATCCTCCATTATGTGTTACTCCATTAAGTCGAGATACAGAATCCCGAGCATCGATGATATAGAATAGAGAGCTGAATGCTTACTACGGCGCCCACGAGGATATTCGACTTTACGATTGTTGGTACCTTAGTCAAGGCGTAGATGATGGGCGGGTTTAGCTAAGCTTGTACAGTGTGCGGCTAGCGAAGTTAAATGCGCCATGGAGGGATTAGACGCATGAGAGGGGCGAAACGGGTCCCTCTCGACAGTGTAGAGGGAGGCCGTGAAGATCGAGTATGAAGAGGCTACTCGAGACACACTCGAAGAGACGGGGTAGAGTTCGAAGGGGCCGGAAGAGAGAATCGAGGGGAACCCGACGCGGCAGGGATAATATCGGCAACGAGGCAGATTTTGTTAAAAAGAGCAATGTTCCTAGTTTTCTAGTAACTACAGGTTATATAGCGTTCATGAGAAATTGACAGAATCCGACGGAGCCGGGGGGAGAATCGATGATGGGGGGCCTAATGCGGCAGAGGGGAGAATTCAGACCATGTCGGAGTGAAGCATGACAGGGTACGTTAGGGCGAACGGAGGTGAGAAAGGAAAGAACAGGTTGGAAGAGAGGGAGAGAGGGATGGGAGTGGGAGATAATGCTCTTATAGCCGTTAAAAGCGGCGGCGCGCCCATCCCGCGACCATACCCGAAGGGGCAGGACCGCCTAAACCGGAGGCGGATTTCCCTGCAACGACTTTACAGTTATAAATTCGCTTCTAGAAGAAATTGTACCATCGAAGTTATTTATTATTTATTATGTCGAACCTAAACTATTATAGGTGTAAGGTTGTCGACCCAGCTCTCCGAGATTACTCAAATCGCACTAAAAAACCGAATGGCCCACCTTCCGTGCTATAACTTGGAGCCTCCTATTGTCGAACTAATAAACTACTAACCGCAAAATGTGACTAATGTGGTTAAGCACGTTCGTCCAGCCTCATCTAAGAAGAGATACGGAAATTGTCCTAACTATCGATTAGAAGACGTCTAGTACTCTGGCGGGAAGACATTTACGAGACCGAAGACTTATGGTAGAGGCTTAGTGTTACGAACTAGGTCACTAGAAGGGTCGCTAAGGACAAGCTACCTATACTTAAAGGAAACAAGGAAGTTAGCCGATGGAGAACGAGGCTACGTCACGTGACTAGGAGATAGACTATAGAGGACTATAGACTACGAGGATAGTCTAAGTAAGTCTATAGTCTAGACTAGTATTATATATATACGCTCCCTTACCTAGATAGTATAGTTCGTAGTTAACTTCGTTAGTAATTCTATACCTACGTTTTAGGATATAGTCCGACGATTATATATTCCCTTTATTATCTTAGTTAACACTCTAGTACCTACTCTATTAAGGAGCCCTACCTTAGTTAGAACTACTTATAGCTCGGATTATAATACTTTAACTATTACTTAATTAATATTAAATATCTAACGTAGGATCCTCTCGAATTAGATCTCTACTACCTAGCGTACGTCTACTTATAGCCTTAAATAATTCTTTAAAGACTAATATTATTTAAGATAGTAGTTCTAACGAAGACTTAGACGTAGATATAGTTAACGTACTAGGACTTACTAATATATCTAGAGATAGCGTTAAGATAGAACTATTCTATAGAAATAGGGAGAAGCTAGAATACTTCCTTATATAACTTAAGACTACCTTTAAGCTTAATCTAACTAAGTATACTAGAGTAGAGGATAAGGTTATATTCGTAGTAATATACCTTAAAGGAGTAGCGTTCTACTAGTTTAAACTAGTATAGAATAACTACCTCGAGTCCTCTAGTCTCGATAATAAAACTAGAGTATATTTTAGGAACTTTATATAGTTTAAAATAATAATTAAATAGATCTATAGTACGATTAATAAGGCTATAGTAGCCTCTCGTACTATATATACTCTTAAATAAATAGAATCTATAGTTAATTATTATTCGAAATTTAAGAAGCTAGTAAAGGAACTAGAATATACGAATAATAATATCTTTAAGAATACGTTCTATAATAAATTAAAGAAAGAAGTTAGGAAGGAAATAATAGAGCGTTCGGAAACGTATTGTTACGGGATAGGACTACGGTAGACCCTAGAAGCACCTATCCTATACTAAGACTAGTCCTAAAATACTAAGGGGCCTAGTATATAAGACCTTAGGGGCTATACGAATCGTATACGAGATTTTTAGACTCCTTAAGTTCTTATAGTCGATGTTCTAAGGACTATATAGTAATTAATCGATTATCTTAGTATTCTCGTTAAGTTACTTATACTCTTATAATTCTATAAGAACTTCTCTTAACTAATATACTAAGGAAAGACTTAGGAGTATAAGCGGCGTAGCTAAAACGCGTACTTAAAGAAGGTTATTAGCTTAGATAGAGTAAATAGAAAATCTATCGCCCTAAGTAGGAGAGCTATCGAGTTCTACCTAGCGTATAGTAGAGGAAGCGCGGAAGACGCGCGGATCTCGAGCGGACTCGAGTAACCTACTATTATCGCTTAGTAGAGCTAAGGAAGATACTCCTTAAGGAAGCTCTAGAGCGTTAAGTATCGTACCTATATCGGTAATATAAGATCGCTACGCGTAACTATAACGTAGACTACTAGAAAAGAAATAGCTAGATAAAATATAACGGATAGAGGCGGAGCTTCGGAATAAGTAAGTTAATAATTCGGTAGATATCCTAGATATAACGCTACTCCTTCGTAAGCGACTAGTAAGCCTATAAGAAAATAGTCTAGTAAAGTATATTAAGATAGGAGAACCTAAGATATACGTAGATACTTCGCTAGCTAGTCTATAGAAGTTCGATATCTATTAGTAGATTCGTTTTTTTATACTATCGAGTTCGACGATACTATTAAACGCGAATCGTATTAACTTAGCGACTACGTTCTTAACTAATACTACTACTTTAGTATAGGCGCGCTAGGAAGAGGCCGTCCTAATATAGAAAGACTTTATCTACTTTCTACGAAACCTAGTATAAAACTTAGCGAATCGCTTAATATTCGTACTAAGTCGCCTATAGCGAAAACGCTAGGACGAAAGCTAGATAGTTCGAGAGCTATAAGAAGAACTTATACGTATCTAAACGAATATTCTACCGATATCTAAACGCGAGACGTATACTTAGGAGCTACTACTTATATTAAAGCCTAAGATTCGACTAGAGGTAATAAGATAATTACTCGATATTAAATCTAAAGAGTAGGTCCTACGCGCGGTATAGCGCTAGAAGGAGCTCTAAAGGACTTCTAGTAGAAGGCCTAAACTACGAGAAGTCTCGAAGTATTCTTCTAGTAAGTAGAGCGCGAAAACTCCTTAAAGGAAGCGCTTAGAGCTCTATTCGTATAACGATAAGTCGAAGGGAAAGAATAGAAAGTATAGACCTACTTTCGGCGATAAACTATATTAAAACTATAACTAACCTAGATATATAAGAGTAGAGTATTTATAGAGTACTAGTAAAGTAGCTAGCGGTATAGCTAGGAATAAGAGTTAGGAAAAGGATAAATTTCTCTAGATAAAAAAATTAATATCTAATACGGTACGCGCTACTAGTATATTAAAGCTACTAGGGAGTAGTACGATATTATCGCGAATACTAGTAGTAACTATAGATACGAAGTTTAGTAGTAAGAGACGTACGCTTCGCGTACTAATTAACTTCGAAGCGAAGCTAAACTT